GAAACGCCCATTCCACAGCGGCGGAGATTGCATTGCACATTTCTGGAACGTGAGGTGTAAACTGAGTGCCTGCATCAGTGGCCCGCATCCGCTTTTCAGGGCGATCGGTAAGCTCTTTCAGGCGATCCCTGCTATCCTTGCGAGATTTTGCCAGGTGCCTCTCGCAATCAGGAATCGCGGTGAAAATCTCGAGAGGTCGCTCAACAGCGGCGCCAAACGCACCCTGACACGACACCAGCCGACGTGCACCGATAATGCGCAGTGCGGTATCGAGATGAATGTACTTGAAAACGAAGCTGTTCAACGGGTTCTCGAGAGCCACAAAGACATCGCGAACACTTGCCATTATGAATAGCCAGCTCAAGACTTCCACCGAAGCATTTGCAACTTGAACTTCTTCTAGCGTGTCGTCACCTGCCACCGCATCCGCTTCACGCTTGAACACTCCTCTGCTCTTGAAGGACACCCACGTGTGAGGGTTTGGCGAGCACCACATTGTTGCACGAGGAAGCAGTGCCCTGACCATGTACATAGCATAGATGATACCATATATTGATGTGAGCGTGTGGTGCTGACTGGCCGACTCGTCCATGGTCGTCGCGTGTCGGTATGGTAGATGGCGAGCCTCATGAACAGTAGCTGTCTGCTCGTCGCCACCGAAGAAGACCGCCATGTGGAGTCGACGACAGATGTCTGGATATCTGCCGCTGTGTAGGTGCTTCTCAACACAGCTGATTAGCACGTGCACTGGCACCAACAACTGTTTATGAATATCCTGGGACGTGAAACCAAGCTCGTTCGCAATAATTCCTGCCATCATGGGAATCCAAGCGGGAGGAACGTACATTGTAATAGCGTCACACAGCAAGACGCAGCACGATCGATGGCAACAGCTTGAGCCCTCACAGTGGCGGATACACGTATTTGTTCAACCCGAACTTTGCGACCATATTGAACAGGCGAAAGATACGCTCCTCAAACTTGCATTGATGTGAATGTTCCCCCGACGTGCGCAAGAGCAGGTTTAAAGATTCGTCGACGAATACAGCGTAGTACTTCGGGTTCCCCAAGAACTGAATCCTGACATACAAACAAAACAGTTTATCGATTGAGTGGGGTCGAAACGATCAGAACCAGCACGTGTCTTGCAACGCTCCCCCCCTACGGCTGGGCATCGGCAAAAGACCCCTTCGATTTTGATACTTGGGTACACGGTGGTACCACCGCCCATCGGAATCGATTGGATCATCCTGGCCATCTCCTCGCTCCCCGCCGATACCCTCCTCCTGCCCATCCCACCCACCACCGCATCCCCCTCGATATTCTGAGGTATCGCCCCCCTCACCGCCTGGAGAAATCCCGAAACCTCGAACCGCCGCCCTTCGAAATGTTAACCCCCACTGATGGGACCGAGGCCCGCCCCCGACCCGCCAGCCCACGTGCATCGATGGTTACCACCATACCCCCATAGCCCCTACAACACCTGCACACTACATTTCGGTATACCAGGGTCCTCTCTGCCAAGTGGAGACAATAATGGTGTTTGGGGACGAAATGCAAGAGTGCATCCTCCGATCTCGACAAGTGCAGGTGCATGAGGTCGTACAGCCGCTGAATAGCATATGTCGGCACCACCATTGGATGCAATTTCAATTCCTCCACGAAATCCAGCAACGCCCGCCCAGCGACAAGCAGGTCGTCACCATAGGGAATTGTAGATACATACTGTGGGAGAATGTGCATTGCATATTTCAACACGATGAATGTTTCGTGCGCCTTTAACTTCATATTGCCGCCTGGATGCGGTAGTGTTTCATTGTTCTCGAAACTACCAGGATCTCCTATCATCTTAAGTGTCAAGTCGCCAATCCGATCACCATGATCGATATCCCCTTCTGGAGCTTTAAACCATTTGGCCATGTTACCATATAGTATCCGACACCCTCTCGACAAAACAACGTCTTTGGTCCCTGAAAGTTTCCATGGGTTCGATAATAAAATGCGGAACAGCGTGCCGCTCGTCCACCTCATCATCGGTCCGTAATGGAGGCTGTGTAGCGTGTCCACAGCTAGGTGTACAGATGGCGTCATACCGATGATCGGGTGGAAGATCGGGTTTCGAAATGTAGCGGGCCCCACGTGCGAATTGCCTTGGAACTCGTGCCTCCAAAATGTGACGCGCACGGGCAACTCTGCTGTTTCAAAACCTCCTACGTCGGGTAGAGAATCTGACGGTACCAAACAATCTTTTTCTTGGAGTCTAAATTTTGGAGGCGTCGGTCGTACAATCGTCCTTCCGTATTGATGCCGTCCAGATCTGTATTCCATAGCTGCCATGAGAGCCTGTCTGTCTTCGTCGGTGCACACGTCCACGTGATGCTCACATTGCGCGCAGTACTCATCATACTCGTGCGGTTCATTGAGGCCCCACGGAGAAAATCCCAGAGACGCCTCCTTAACAACATTCATATTGTCGCCTGTGCATTTGCACATTGGACACGGATTGTACTTTGAGTTGGTATTTGGAAGGCCGTGCGTGTGCGATGCGTCGCTCCAGTCGAGCTTCATCCAGATTACACACCCCGTGAACCCCAGAAACGCACCGTGCTGATTAGCTAGACGACCGTGCTGGCTGGTGTCGTCGTAGTGCGTCCCATCGAATTTCACGGCTGGTCTGACACCACACGCCAATATTTTCAGATTCCACGCCAAATACCTGAGCAACGGATGCATGCTGCACCATCCCCTACACCCACATGCACACGAATTGCGCGTACGCCAAACTGCGCACAAGTGCCTTTTCCCCGTTAACACGTTGGTAATCCAAACGCCCAAAATCGAATCTGGATTTGACGACGTGCTTCCTGTGTAATGCACACCATCCGTATAGATAGCCAGCGGGATCGGGAGCGGCTTGCCTTGCGATTTTGCTGCGACCGTCAGCGGGTGCTCCCAGTACACTGGTGGCAGTCCTGATGATTCGTCGACCACGTGCTTGCATCGGTCGTCCCGTACTTCACTAGCAATGTTCTCATACGTCAACGCCACAAGCACTGTTCGGGGTTGGCGGCTGGTTCGGTGCCTATCTGTCCCTGGAACTAAGAGGTGTTCAATGTTTGCTGGTGGCGCCCAAATCTTATCCAGTTCATGCTGATAACGCCCTGATTGCAAACCTGGGGGGCATGCGAATCGCGCGAAATCCGCTCCGAGAACCCCCGCAACATTGGCGTGGTGGCACGCTATGCAGAAGTCGGCAGCAGTCATCTTCCCAAGCGCATACATATTTTTGAAATGCTGGAGCAACTCAGCGCCAGCGTTGCGTCTGGCTTGAAGCTGCTGCTCCCGCTCATGTGCCAGAAACAACGGCCCCCCATCATCACAGGCTTCGTCGCGGGAGCGCTTTGCCCCCTGTGCTCGGGCCATGGTTCATGCTACGATGCCGTGCATGCGCGCGTGTGCGTGCAGAACGCGTGCTGATAAGTCACGCGCGCCTTATGCGCCATCATAGTGCAATGCGGTTATGTCGCGCCCAGTGCGTTCCTATCCAACTCAACGCAATGCGATGCAAAGCTGTTATAGGTTTCAATGTCGCTTTAGATTACGTCATTGGTGTTGGTTTAACCCAGAGTACCGTGTCAAGTGTACCAGAGTGTATCCAATTCAGAGGTCGTGTTTGTTATATGTTGCTCAAGGTACTCCTAAGTTACGCAATGCATTATCAGTTGACTCACCGCATTTCTAGTTGGCTCATAGAAGCTATGGCGTATTAGTTAGATTAGTAACCTTCTGATGTATACAGTTCTACCAGGCTCATACATGTTGTATTTGGTTCAAGTCATTCATGTATTGCATCGCCCCATATCCTTATTCGGCGTGCTAGGTGGCGATGTGCATGTGGACGGGTGATGATGCATGCAACGTCTCACGAACGAAACTTGCATCATGCAACACCTGGCCCGCAGAGGGGAGAGGCCGGGGGTACACACCAAATGCCCTGCGAAACAATCACCATCCACATGCACACACGCCCTCGTGCTCTCCACTGCCAGACACACGCGCGCAATCCAAACAATCAGCAAAACTCAGACGGAGAAGTAGAAAACTCAGAGCGACTAGTAGTGAAACTCAGGCGGAGAAGTAGTAAACTCAGGACGCTAAGTGGTGCAAATCAGGGCAACAATATCGGGCTGATATGCTTTGCACTGCGTGCGTGGCCGTCTGCATCCAACGCTCGGCGCATGTGACTCGGCCTTCGTCGCCCAGCAGGATTACCCGTGCTGGTCGGCGCGCTCCCCGAGCACTCACTAGCACGAGCATGTATTCTCGAGCGTGGCAACGGTCCAGACTAAACCTCAATGCGCGCCTCCGCGGCGCAGTCGGCACCCCTGAGCGGCAGTATTCCCCAAAAAATCAGCACTGCACGCCGAAAATCAGCCGACGAGCGCGCCGCGGCGCAGCTCTGCAAAACTCAGAGAAACTCAGAGCGGGATCTTAAATTCTCAGAACTCAGAGGGTGGTCGATCCTCGATACATGTTGCTTGGATCTTATTTTTGTCTGGAGAAAATCATAGAAAATCAGTGAAAACTCAGAGCGCCTCGGGCGCCCCCCAACCAGGTTTTTCCCCTAACAAACCGGTGTTTTCTCGATTTCAACGGTTTTTTCCCGGCACGCCAGACATTTTCGGCCCGCCGTCGGGTCCGAACACCCCCCGTGAAAGACTGCGGCTGGATTCGCTCTCCTTCGCCCGTCCCGCTCTCTCCAGCCCGCCTCCCCGCCCCCGTCCCTCCTGCGATCTGCCCCCTAGTCCCCCCTCCATCCGCCAATCGTCCCGTGTCATTGCCCTCCGCCTATCCCGCTTCGAAGTGGGCGGGGGGATCCCCCCGCCCACGGCTCGAAAGACGCGTCTTGCCACTGAAACAAAACGCCTGCAGCATGGGCACATGCCCGCGCTACTCAGCCACTGACCGCTCGCAGCTACGCCGACGCTTTGGTAACCCTCCTGCGCTTGGAAGCGCTCTTGTCTCTGCCGCCGACGGCCCCCTTCTTGGCCTCCTCCGCAGCCTCCAGCGCCTGGTCAGCACCGTCCTTCGAAGCCAAGAGCGCCGCCGCCTCCACGCTGCACGCAGAGATGAGGGGAGACAGCAGGTTCTTGAAGTTGACGAAGGCTGCCAAAGCACTCTCCTCGCCCTGCTTCTTGATGAGCTCGGCCTTGTACTTCGTCAGGTCGTGGGTCAGCATCTTCGGCACGTCCTTGAACTGCGGGTTGCTCGACGTCGCAGTGAGCGAGGTGAGCGCCGTCTGCAAGGGCCCCACCATCGCAGGCGAGTTGAACCGCTCCCACTCCTTGGCGGTCGCGACCTCCTTCAACAGCGTGTTCGCCTGGCCCACCGCGGCGTTGTACTGGGCCTTGGTCGTGTTGGCCTCCTTGACAGCCTTCGACATGGGGTCGAGCTCCTGGGCGCGACGGCGACGACGACGACGGCCAAATACTGACACACGAAGTAACATAAGAATGAGACGACGACGGCGACGACGACGACGACGATCGCGACGACGAGCGACGACGACGACGACGACGACGACGACGACGACTTCGAGGTTAAGCAAGGAAGATGAGGATGATGAGGAGGAGGAGGAGGATGGGAAGGATGATCGATCGACCAGTGGGGCAAGTTCGAAACTGTTTCGCCCACGTGTCCTTCTTCGGCTTCTGCCGCGCCGCGTCCCCAGCACCTGGAGCTCCAGCCGCTGCCCCATCGGCGCCACCCGCTCCCCCAGCGGCGCCACCCGTCGCGCCTGCGGCATCGGCGGGGCCAGGCGCCGCAGCTGCCGCACCCGCTGCCGCACCAGCACTGCTTGTCGGTGCAGCTGCAGCCGCCGTGCGTGTCGCGGCGGAGCCTGAGTGCCCAGCGCCCACCCCGCTGCCGTCGGTCGCAAGGGGGACTGCCTGCGCGACACCAGTGGGCACTACGGCGGCTGGCGTCTTGGTGATCACAGCGGCGCCGATGGCGTGCTGGGCGGCGGCGCCGCCTGGGCGATCCAGCTTCGTGGTAGTCTTGTCAGTGACGTGCTTCGCCCAGAGGTTAGTGAACTCCTCGCGGAAGCCATCTTCGACGTATAAGAAGCGGGCCGACTGAGTGAACTCACCGTCAAACTTGACGAACGGGTAGCCCATGTCGAGGCAACGGATGCAGTAGTTCGTCGCGTTGCGAACCCCTGCGGTCCCACCGCCCTCCTCGACGGCGATCCTCCCAGCAGATCTGTAGAAGCCCTGCTTGATGATGCTGTGCTGCTCGATCTGCGAGCGCACCCTCACGGCGACGCGCTCCTCGTACTGCGCCTGCGCCCACTTCATCCTGAAGTTGCTCTTCGCAGCGTGGCCCTTGCATTGACCGTATTCTGTCTTTTGAGCTGGGTTGGCCTTGAGGTAAGCGTCGAACTTCGAAGCCGCGACGTTGCCAGCCGATGCACGAGCAGCGAACTCCCACGAGCCCGAGTCCTTGACGCCCTGCCAGAACTGGTCGAGCGGGTCCGTGCTGCCGCGAAGCGACTCCTCGACTCGGGGCGCAGAGACGGTCCCAGGGCAGCTCTCTTCTTTCGCGGCCGCGAGGTGGCACAGAATGTGGTCGAGCTTGTCTGCATCGCCGTCGGCCTGCCTGCCCAGCTGCGACTGCGCATCGCTGAAGCGGTTGTTGGACAGCATGGCGAGGATATCTGTCATCGACTGGCCCTTCACCGAGTCCGCACCCTGGGAGGAGGCAAGCACGGCAACAATACCGTTAGACGTGGTAGCCCGCATATTTGGATTGCGACCCAATCCAAACGGCTGGCTACCACCCGCCTAATAGTTTTGCCGTGCATAGGGTCCTCCACCCCAGAGCTCTCGCCAGGCGCGGGCCAATCCTCGTCGACCGCGAGCGGTGGGCCGTCCCCGACATAGTTGGGGTTCTTAGTAGACCTGTGCTTGCCGTCTCTCGGCTGAGCGTCCATAGGACTCTCGTTGTCGATGACGGAGAAGTTGTGAGGGCTCTCAGCTGACATCATCGCAGCCTTCGCAAATGCCTTGCCTAGCGGTGTAGTTCGGATCGGGCTTCGGGGAACCTGATCCCACTCAAGCGACTGCATGCTGCTCGGACCGAGCACGGCTTGCGACGGTGCCTGATAGTGCCTGCGCGTGAGTTGATGCACGGTGCAAGTGTGAGAACGCACCGAGAACCACGACGAATCCGCATCATACACATTTCGATCAACACCGAAATCAGTAAAACTCAGATCGAGAAGTAGTAAACTCAGGCCGAGAAGTAGGAAAACTCAGAGAGGGAAGTGGGAAACTCAGAACGATGAGTGGTTAACCTCAGAGTGTAAACCCAGTGACCGTGCGACGCGCGTACAATGAAATCACGTGCGTGTGAGTGTGGCGTGCTCGTTAACACGTCTGGCTGTAACATCTGATTTTCTGATTTTCGGGTAACGCTGCCTCTGGAGCTCCGACGATTCCACTGCGCAGCCACTGCGCGAGGAAACTCACTGCCAACGAGCGTGCTGCGATCGCACATGATGCCGAACAACTGGCGACATCAATCCACTCGAACTCACAATTCTATCTACATGAGTCGTCGGAGCGATGCCCTGATCCCCACCCCACCCCCAAACATTCAAGGCCGGTGTGCGCACGAGGATATCCCCGTGCGCACACCGAGCGCACACACCGAATCCCACCCCCACTCGGCCCAACAACACTTTGATTTCTACCAGGTAATCTGCCTGGTGGGGGGGGAGCGGGGGTCAGGGCAGCGCCGCCGTGCCTACTCCGAATCATCAGCATAAGCACGCTCCATAAAGCCAGCATGAGGCCCCTCGTCGCTGCTGATGCTGCATGGCATCCCCCCCATCTCGGTGTCCGCATCATCTGGAGGCGACTCCCGAAGCGCCGCCGCGCCTGCCGCTGCCTCGGCCGCCGCCGCAGCGGGCGCTGCTGCCTGCGACACCTCCGCCACCGCGGGCTTCTTCTCGGCGGGCGGCTCGTCCTGGCGGAGCGGGCGCCGCCGTCGTCGCCGTCGTCGGCGGCGGCGACAGCGGCGTCGTCGTCGGCGTCAGCGTTGGTCGCCGTCTATCGTCCATCGTCGTCGTGGGCGTCGTGGTCGTCGCCGTCGTCGCCGCCGCTTCCGCCGTCGTCGTCGTCGTCGTCGTCGTCGTCGTCGTCGTCGTCGTCGTCGTCGTCGTCGTGTCGGTCGTTTCGTCGCTGTCGTAGTTGTCGTCGTCCGTCGTCGTCGTCGTCGTCGTCGTCGTCGTCGTCGTCGTCGTCGTCGTCGTCATCATCGCCGTCGTCGTCCTCCTCCTCCTCCTCCTCCTCCTCCTCCTCCTCCTCCTCCTCCTCCTTCTCATCAGCTCAACCCCAAAACTGTCCTCGGCCTCAGCTGCAGCTCGCTTCCGACCGATCTTCTTGGACACCTGCGCCCAGCCGTTCGCGACAATGAACGAGTCCTTGTCGTCCACGGTCTGCTCCCTGGTCCTCGTCTTGGCGACGTAGTTGTCGACGAACTCATTGAACTTATCGGTGATCTTGTCAACCTCACCATCGGGGACCTTCATCTGCGCAAACTGCTCTGGTCTAGAACCGTCGTCCTTCTCGTGCCTGATGGCGACGAACTGCTCCTTGAGGCGCTTGTACCACACGACCTTCACGTGCCCGCCGTCCTTGTGCTCCTTAGACGGAACAGCATCATCAGAGTTCTTACTCGCCCATTGTTTTGCACTCACCGCCGTGATGAACCACGTTGCACCGTCGGCCCACACAGCCACGGCCTGCTTGGTATGCTCGTCGTCAGTCGGAGGGCGAACCGACGCTGCGTACTCCTCCGCGCCGTCGGCGAGCACCCTGTACGCTGCCTGGTGGGCGCGAGTCGGGAGGCGGGACTCGACGTCGACGACGACGACGACGACGACGACGACGACGACGGCCACGACGACGACGACGACGACGACGACGACGACGACGACGACGACGACGACGACGACGACGACGACGACGGGCGACGGACGACGGACGACGGACGACGGACGACGGACGACGGACGACGCCAGAGGAGATGAGGATGGGATATGGTGAGCTCGTTTAGCACAATTGAGCCTGCAACTCATGGTTCCACTTGTAGATGGGAGTCGCCTCGGCTGCCGCGGCTGGCCTCTTCATCGATGCCGCCGCCACCTCACCAGGTTCCACTTCTGCCTCATCCTCTTCGCCTTCCTCCTCCTCCTCCTCTGCCTCATCCTCGTCCTCGCCGTCCTGCGCCTCCTCGTCCTCGCCACCCGCGCCAGCGATGGCGCAGTCGGGGACAGCACCTGGAGCTACACCGATCGCCCCAGCAGGTGCTCCCTCGGTCGGGTCGGGAATGATCTCTTTCATCCACTCGGGCCACTGCGAACGTGTCCTCGACGAATACTTCAGGACCACTTGGTTGTAGTCACGCACCATCATCCGCAATCGTTTGGCCACTGTATCGCTCCATGTGGCGATCTCCTTCACCAAATGCCATTGCTCCTCGCGATCAGTGGCGATCTCGGCCAAGAGCTTCTTCAACTGCGACTGGGGGATGCCGCTTGGGATCTTGGGCAGCAGCAGCACGTGGTTTCTGATCTGCTCGTCGTCACGGGGACCAGCGCCCTTCTCACGATAAGACGGGGTCTCTGCAGTTTTGTAGTAGTCCTGCAGTGCGACCTTCACCACCTTCAACTGCGCGGGCGTCAGCGTACCCTTTCGCCCCTTCGGGGCCATTGCAGCTGCAGCACGCGGCACACACTGACAGTGAGAAGAGCGAGCAGCCCGAAACCAGCAAAGGGTTTGAGCAACATGCCAATGAGAAGGCGCCGACGAAGGCCTCCGAATCACATGGCGCCATGTCCTGGCTCAGAATGGTGCTCTCGTTTTGAGTGTTGTTGTCACTGGCCGCTTTCCTACCTCATAATCGTGCTCTCGCCTCGTCGCTGACTACATTTCCCGTTCCGAACGCCCCCTTCCCCCTTCATACGTCCCTTATCTCTTTTGATTATCTTCGTACGGAGTTCCTTCCCCTATTGATTGGTTCATTGTCCCTCTCTCGTCTTACATATTGCTCATTTCCTTTGTTCCATGTTTTCATCCCCCATGTCTCCCCTGCAGACCCAGCCCGCTCAATATTCAAGCGCACTATATACGACACTGCTTGATCGGGAACCCAAACCTACCATCTAACTCATATTTTCTGACATATATACGAGCAGGATCTTATAATTAGATCCATATATAACATAATAAGATCCATGACAACATAACACTCCGGATCTTATTATAAGATCCTGCCAACCTCAGGGCCGCCCCCCCCCCCGCCGGCGCGCCGCCGCGCCTCCGGGCGCCCGCCCTCCGCCCGCGCCTCGCCCGCGGCGGCCCCGCAGCCGCCGGCGCCCGCCGCGCCGCCGCCTCGCGGCCGCGCCGCGCCGCGCCGCGCCGCGCCGCGGCCGGGCCGCGCGGGGGCGACGCGCAGAGGGTCCCCCCCCCCCCCCGGCTTCGCGCGCCGCGCCGCGCGAGGCACGGCCCGCCCCCGCGCCCGCGCGCCCTCGCGCCCGCGCGCCCTCGCGCCCGCCGCCCCCCTGGAGGGAGGGCGGCGGCTCTGGCCCCAGGCCGCGGAGCGCGGAGCGCGGCGACCTTCGCGCCCCCTGGGGGGGGGGGGCCTGGAGCCCGGTCCGATGCGGCATCGGCCCGGGGGTCTTCCGATCTTCGGGTTCTCGGACCGTTTATGGGCTTTCGGGGCTATCGAAGATTTCGCCCATCCCCCCCTCGGCCCTCCCCGTCCGAGGCCTTCCGAGCTTCAAGATTCAAGGTTTCGAATTGTCGGTGCTCCGATCGATCCGATCGATCGGGGGTTTCCGGAGTTCCGATCGGCTCTCGGCAGCTCTCCAGCCTCGGGATGCCTTCCAGCGGCTGCGCCTCGCCGAGGGCGTTGGAAAGGGCGCCGAGAGGTCGCCCCGAAGAGACATTTTTTCGATCGCCTTGTCCAGGGCACCTCCGGCTTGGGCCTCCGAGGAACGAGCCAGACCCACCCCCAGCCCTGATCACTCGGGGCTCTGATGCCGCGCTCCTCGGGGGGTCCAGCGGCCAGGTGCACCCCAGACCAACCCCAGCCCTGATGACTCGGAGCTCTGATCCCGCGCCCCTCGGAGGGTCCAGCGGGGTCTGGCGCCTCACGCGGATCCAAGTGTGAGGCCCCTCGCCAACCCGGAAGGTTCCGCCGGGCGCGCGACTGTTGCCCATCTTCTGCGACCGACGACGACGACGACGACAACGGCGACGGCGACGGCGACGGCGACAACGGCGACGACGACGGCGGCAGCGGCGGCGGCGGCGACGGCGACG